GTCACATTGAATGGTGATGATAGAACAAATAACTATTGCGAAGGGTGAAATAATTATTTTAATAAGCTTGTAGGAACAATCATTTTGGTTAGTTCTACAGTGTATTCAACAAGATGAATCTTCGATGCGAATTGAAAGTATACGGTATGATTTACAATCCTAATAATTTAACATCTTAAAAAAAAAATAATAAAAATATGCTTCACTTCAATATAGACTTCATGAAACTATTACCAGTTACGTAAATAAAGAAATTACAATGGACATTTTTTTTAAACACCAAAGGGAAACTATCGTGAATTTATATTTAATTTTGAATTATTATGAATTATTTAATTTTGGACACATTTTTTGACTATCATATTACTATTAAATGTGAACATATATTTATTTTAATTTAATTTTTTGAATCACTGAAAATAAAATATTTTATAGTACCTACCCATATTCCGCCTATTTCATTTCTTTTGTTCAAAGCACAATAACCGTAACAATTTTCCGTTTACCGGTATCGATGGGTACGGTGATCATTTAAGGAAGTTGTCCGAACGGGCACATACAATTCGAGTGAACGAGATTTTTGAGGCCAGAGGCATCTTTGTTATGGTATGGTTTAATAAATTGTAAACTATTAGGACCATACTTCTACGATGGCACTCTTAATGGAAGACGATATAAAGATTTCTTACTAAACGCCAAATATGTTAGATGACCTTCCACAAGACATCAGAACAAATTTAATATTCCAACTAGATGGAGCTCCAGCCCACAATGCAAATATTTTTCGTAATTACCTCAATGAATATTTTTCAAATCGGTGGATAGGGACTTACGAAGCAGTTCAGTGGCCACCAAGGTCACCAGATCTTACACCATTAGATTACTTCCTCTGGGGTCACTTGAAAACGGTAGAGTATGCCAATCCACCTACGTGTTTTCTTGATTTGAAAAACAAATTAATAATTGTAGTATGTAGTCAAATTACAGAAGAACAAATTATTTCTGCTATAAACCGAGAATTTTTAATTCGTGTTGAATATTGTTTACAGCACCATGGTGCGCAATTCGAACAATTTATTAGATAAATAAAACTTATTAATAAAAAAGTAAATGTTTGTATTTTTATTTTTATTATTACGTATTTATTATTATTGACTTCGTATTTTATAATCTGTTATACCCGTACAAATATCATAAAATTAAAAATTGCTATAACTCAGCCATTTTTTAACTTAGAAAAGAAATTCAACCACTAAATTCATTAAAAAATACAAAAATTAATAATTCGTGGTCAAAAATAGGTTTTGCCATTAAAAAAAAAAAGTTATTGTGCGCACACGCCAAAATAGATGTCACAAAAATAGTCTAATTAATTGAAAATGTGTATAATGGTGTTTATTAGTTACCCAAAAAAGGATAATTGAAATAAATGAAGCCTACACATAGTTATTGAGTGTTTCCACTTATCATGATCACACTGTATATAATATATATAAAAGTAATAAAAATAATAATAATATTAAAGGGGCTAAAGCAGACCATGTTTTAAGGAGAAGTAAACGAACATTATTATGTGTAATCCGTTATCGCGTTTTTCAAAATTTGAATTCTCAGATTTATGATTATAATCAAAATAAACCATGCCGCATGAGAATTCGTCGGAAAAAGGTGTATTATTATTTTTCTATAGGTACAACTACTATAAATTATAAATATGCATTCATAATAATATAGTCGCGTCGTATCCGCATCCTAGAAAACTTAATTTACATAAAATAAAAATTAGTAACTATTGATAACTATTACTTAGATGTATTTATTATTATTTTTGATCACAAATAATTTAACAAACAACAACAATAATAATAAAAAAAAAACTGAATACTTGTAATTCGTATTTAAATGATAATTTTTTTTTTATATATTAATATAATTAATTAATTCCTTTAGCAAGTATTTGAGGCGACATGTTTTCTAAATAATTTTTTTTTCATTTCATTTTTAATTTGTTTTCCCAAAAACTGTCGTCAATTTTTATTTTTTCCATCATCAAACCTATATAAACAGGGTGATTTTTTAAGCATGCTCACTCCATTTTATGCTTAAATTATGCATATATTCAAATTCCGATTTTTAGAATTTTTAAATGTAGATAAAGACAATATTTTAGAGTACTTAGATTTTTCACAATATTTAAAGCAGTGGTTCCCAACCTATGGTCCGCGAGCTATACCTACAAAATTTAAAAATATTTCATTTTTCCTTTGGAGCGCGTGACAAAGTTTGTAACTGTTTTTGCTGGACTTCCAACGAAGAAGGCAGTAACTCATTCTTATTATATTATATACTATATAACGTCTAATTCGTAAAAGCAAGGCAGTCAAAATATTATGTATTGACAATCGTTGTCATCGATTCCATGGCGTGGCACGTGTATATTACGTCGTTTATTTATAAATTTATATTACATTATGTCACGTATGTATTATTTCAACCGATAATCTAATCTTGTTTTTACAGCAAGATTAGATTATTGGTAGAATACAAAAAGCTATGTACAGAGTTTAATATTAATTTTATTGTAATATTGTTAGTTGCTCTGTATTCGTACTCCGTAGTCGACGTCTGTGCTTTTGCCTCTTTATGATAGTCCGTGTGTTAATATTAAAATTAAAGAAAATGGCTCCGAAAAGAAAATATGACGACTCCTATATCAAATTTAGATTTATTGCAATCGAAACTAACCATGAAACTCGACCACAGTGTGTTATATGTTCCACTGTTCTTAGTAATGATGCGTTGAAATCCGCTAAATTAGAACGGCATTTAAAAACTGTCCATCCTAAATTGAGTGATTAACCACCAGCATTTTTCATGGGTAAGTCAGAAAATTTGAAAAAAATAAAACTTGGAACAAGTGGTTCAAGATTCGAGTTAAATGAAAAAGTGCTATCTGCGTTATTTAAAATTAATCGCAAAATCAAAAAAACCACACACTATCGGTGAAAAGTTATTGAAACCTTGTTTACTAAATGCTGTTGAAGAAGTCTTAGGTGAGGAAGCTAAAAATAAAATACAAAAAATTCCATTATCGAATAACACCGTAAAAGCTCGCATTGACAAAATATCTTTCGATATGGAAGAACAATTAGTGGTAAAAATAAAAAACTCACCTTTTTACGCATTGCAGTGTAATAAAAGTACTGACGTTTCGCAATGTTGTCAGTTACTGGTTTTTGTTAGATTTTTGGACGATGACAACACAATAAAAGAAGAGCTTTTGTTACTGCAGGAATTGGGTACTACGTCGAAAGGAAGTGATGTAATGAAGATAATAAATGATTATTTTGAAAAACACGATATTATGTGGGAAAAGCTTGCAGGTTTTTGTACGGATGGAGCTCCAGCTATGCTAGGATCACGTTCGGGCCTAGCAACCTTGGTTAAAGAAAAAATCTGTTCAGTATTGACAACGCATTGTGTAATTCATCGACAAGCATTAGCTTCAAAAACATTACCTGAAGAACTCATATATACTTTAAAACAGTCCGTAAAAATGGTGAACGCTATCAAAAGTAGTGCACTAAATACTCGCATTTTTAAAATAATATGCTCGGACTTGGATTCTGAATATGAAACTTTGCTTTTTCATACCGAAGTCCGATGGCTTTCGAAAGGAAACATGTTGACAAGATTATTTTCACTTAAGGAGGAGGTGACAGTGTTTAACTGAGAAAAAAATGATCGATTTATCGAAATGTGTTTGTGATCATAAGTTTGAAATGCACTTGGCTTATCTTGTCGATATCTTTGAGCACATTTAAACAAGCTTAATTTACAATAATTATAAGGCTCCGGAAATCATAAATTGGAAGGCGCTGAAAATATATATTTATATTTGAAGATAAACTTCGCGCATTTATTTGTAAAATTAATTTATGGATAAGTAAAGTTGAGATAAATAACTACTCAACGTTTCAAACACTAAAAAGCATCGTCGACAACGAAAAATATGCTGACTTTGTGCCTGAGGTCCAGCAAAATGTTTTACACCATTTGCATAAACTTAAAGATGAATTTAACCGGTATTTTCCAGAATATAATGGTTATGAAACGAAAGGTGTCCGAAGTATGATTCGAAACCCTTTTATTGTCAAAGTTTATGAGGTAGATGATGATATCCAGGAAGATTTGATAGAGTTACAAAATGATTGAAACTGTAAGGATACGTTTGAATCTTCCATGAATATTAAAGAGTTTAAGTAAAAAAAAGCAATTACTTATCCTAAGCTTCGAGAAATCGCACTAAGATATTTAGTCATGTTTTCAACAACTTTTATATGCGAACAAGGATTTTCCACACTGCTCTACATTTAAAACAAACAAAGAAATCGGCTGGACGCCACTAAATACATGCGTGTACCTTTGAGCAATATTACCCCAAGAATATCTTTGTTAGTAAAGGAAATGCAAGCGCAAAAATCACAATAACTTGTTTTTATAATTAAATTTACCTTTTATAGAAATAATAGTATGATACCCATTTTTTTATTATAGTAATTTGTGTTGAATTTTTAATAAATGTAAAATTTTTACCTAATTAAATTATTTTGTATAGTAAAGTAGTAGAATTATATATAATAGTATAGTAATAAAAAGTAAAGTAACATAATAAAAATTTACAATTTTTGATAAATTTTGTGTATTTTTGTAAAAAAAAAAAAGGGCTTTCTAGTTTTCGTAAAATTGAGGTGGTCCGCGACCTATAAAATATTGTCGAAGTGGTCCGTGGTGGTAAAAAGGTTGGGAATCACTGTTATAGAGTAATTAACTTTCCATTTAGCTAATGAATTCAATATTAAATGTTCATCATTAAATATATCAATTTCATTATTATCAGACTCAAGAGTATCAGAACAAAAATTATATGAAAAAATATTTTGGTCAAAATCACTATTATTTGAAATATAATTAAGATGCGTTTTAAATGAAAACAAATTGTTTGAAGTACTATCAATGGAATCAGATGAATTAGAACTTTCTAAAGGTAGTGAAAAACTGTCATGAGATGTACTTGGTTGATGATTTAATTCAAGTTGATTATCCATCAAGAAATCTACAGTCTCTATTTCTTCTAAAAATAGTCCACGTTTAGTAGATTTACTGAGAGTATGGCATGACATAACTAAATACAAAATATACTTAAAACTTTAATAATTATAATATACCTGTACTTACCAAAATAACTAATATGGTTAGGTTCACTATTAACGACTGTATACACAATAGTCAGCTCAAAACTAATAGTCTGAAAAAAAACTGCACAGTGAATTGTTTCAAATTTAAATATTTTAAATTTAAATAAATTACTTACCAAAATACGATAAAAAATGCAGTTACTTAACTTATAGTTTAGGAACGGCAGAACCTCGATTATACGAGTTGTAACTATCGGCGGTCAATCAAGTAGGTACACAACACTAATAATATTATACAACTTACAGGAAAATAACAGGACAATACAGAATTTTCGAATAAGTACCCACAATATAATTAATCACTAATATAAGTAAATAATAATATAATATATTGAATCGTTGGAATAACGTAACCTAGAACTCTGGCGACTGACAAATGGCGGTTAATGGTTATACCGTACGTCCCGAAATGCAGTGGCGGCTCGTGCGTAGGTGCACTGGTGCAAGCGCACCACATGCCATTTCATCAAAATAATATTTTTATTTTTTTTAGAACTTAATCATTATAAACTATTTATTAAGACTATCGAGGTGCTGTTAAAAAAAAAAAAAAATATTCAAAAATATTTTTCGGTAAAGAACTATCACGTTGTGACCATATTATTTCTCCTAAAGTAAAAAAGCTATGCAATATGCACACACCAATCGATGCGCAACACTATGACAGCACCACACGCCTGTATAAAATAAGTATGGCTGATGAGTGGGGGATCGCAAAATACAACGCAACTCGGTGCGTAGTTACTACTGCGAACCGATTTTTAAAATAAACATTATCTTCGTTAATTTTGAGATTTTCCATTTGTAATCTGATTTTTGTATCAAATGCTCGATATAATTTTATAATATAACAATTATCAGTATATATATTTCACCTGTCATAGTGAATTCTTTCCTTTAAGAACTAACACGTATTATTTCTTTTAAAATGAATTCAGTAGACAATCTTTTAAAAAACAAATTTTTTCTTTATACGAATGAAGAAAAAATTCAAATTAAAACGTTGGGAAGACCTGTGCCGGATTTAAATTTAATAAAAGTGACTAAACAAAAATCGCGACAATATACTCGTCATTTTACCAATGACTATTATACTAAATATAATTGGCTTTGCGGATGTTATGTTAGAAATGCTGTTTTTTGTTTTCCGTGTATTTTATTTCGTGGAAAAATTTCATGGACAAAAACTGGAATGACAGATTTAAGTAATTTAAACGAAAGAATGAAAAAACATGATTCTACTGTAAAACATATTAATAACATATTAAATTTAGCTGTTTTGGGAAAAACAAATATTCTTTCTATGTTGGACAGTGGTTATAGAAGAGGTATTTTTAATAATATTATTTTATTAATATAAATTTTAATTATTTTAATTTAAAATTTTGTTTTTAGGTATAGAGCTACACAATGAAAAAGTTTCCAATAATAGATATATTTTGAATGTCATCATTAATTGTGTTCGTTTTTGTGGCGCTTTTGAGTTAAGAGGTCATAATGAAAATGAAACATCTCTCAATCCAGGAATTTTTCGAGGCTTAGTAAATTTTAGTGCGGAATTAGATAATGTGTTGAAAAATCATTTGGAAAATGCGACAGTTTTTAAAGGTACGTCTAAAACTATTCAGAATGAAATATTAAAATGTATGCTAGCTGTTTGTCAAAAAGAAATATCATTAGAAATTAAAAAGGCGGATTATTTTGCAATAACAGCTGATGAAACTACGGATATTAGTGCTGTTTTTCAAATGGTAATTGTTTATCGCTATATTGTAAATGATAAGCTGGTAGAGAGATTTTGGGAATTTTTAAATCCTAAAGAAAATAATGCTAAAGCTTTATCTGAGTGTATTAAAGAACAGCTTGATAGAAAAAGAAACAGATAAACTAATCGCTCAAACATACGATGGCGCTTCAGTTATGAGTGGTCATAATAACGGCGTCCAGACGATAATAAAACAAAATTATCCAAATGCAGAATATATCCACTGTTACGCACATCAGCTAAATTTAGTAATGTTCAATTCTGCGTCAATAAATAGAAATGTTAGAATTTTTTTTTGCTAATCTAGAAAGTTTTTGTACATTTTTTTCAACTTCTTCTCAACGAACGGCAATTTTAAACGAAGTCGTAAATAAACACTTACCTAGGGCCACTTCGACAAGATGGTATTTTAATTCTCGAACAGTTAATACTGTTTTTGAGTATAGGACAGACCTAATTAAATGTATGGAAAAAATTATAAATGATGAAACTATTAAACATATGCCTACTATTCAGCAAGCCTCGGGATTAAAAATAACATTGAACGACAAAGAATTTATTTTTTGGCTTACAATATTTCATAATATTATGTCTCATGTAGATATATTGTACAATCAATTGCAGAAACGAGAAACTGATTCTACAACTATAAGAACTAATATTGATAATTTTATTAATATAATAGATTCAAGTATAAGAAATAAAATAGATAAAATATGTGAGGATATTTTTATGCAAAATTTTAATAAGCGAAACCAAATAAAGAAAGTGGATGAACTTAAAAGAGAAGCCAAAGAAGTCTGTGACGTCATTATATCTCAATCAAAAGAACGATTTGATTTTACTGGTCATCTTATAGCATCAAATTTATTTTTGGTTGAAAATTTCGAAAGATATTTTAAAAATTTCCCCGAAGAATATTTTAATCAAACAATAAATGTGTATCCATATTTTAACGACAAAAAATTGAAAACTGAACTACAAATAATATATAGCAAGTCTGAGTTTAGAAATATATCCGAAGCTATTTCTTTACTAGCTTTCTTAAAATCTGAAAACCTTACTCATACATTCGGTGAGTGTGTGAAACTATTAAAAATAATAATAATACCTATGTCTAAAGCGAAATCTGAAAGGTGTTTTTCAACATTAAAAAGAATAAAAACATTTTTACGCAATACCATGGAACAAGCATAGATAATAAAAGACTGGATAGGCCATCAGGCCTTATCACACGAGCATAAACATTATTTTACTTTGAGGTTACAAGGGATTTTATCTATTAGTAAATATCAAAATTGCTATATATTAAAATAAATAATAATCATTATTCATTAATTAACAAATTGATAGTATGTATTTGATTTATGAGTTTTTTCGTATTCTGTTCTCTTAAATCGTTATTCATAATTTATTTCAGTAATATTAATATATTTAAGCCTATATTATAATTCATTGTTATATTATTTACAAGTTTATTATCTATGTAGAAACTTAAATAAATATAAAAATCACAATCCAGTTCTATAAGAATGGGTATAATAATGACAATATTTAGTATACATATAATATAATATTTAATACATATATTTAATTTATCAATTATTAGCTCATGATTAAAATGAATAAGCTTAGTTAACTTAGTCCTGGTACGTTTTTCCTTGATATTGTCTTTGATTTTTCTAATTTCGTGAAAAAATACGAATGTCAACATATTTATTAATTATTAAATTTATTAAATTTTCTCTGTGCGCATGTCTACTTAAAAATGATTCTTGTCCAGTGCAATATGGAATTGTTTCTTTCCCTTCTTTATAAATGTTTGTTTTTTTACTTTGTTGATTAAATATAATTTGTTCTTTGACTGGTTGAAGTATATTGGAGCTTCACTTCTAAAAATCATTTCTGATTCTTGACAAAGTACTTCTACAGCTTTGCTTGGATACAGTAATCCTCCTAGATTCTTAATATTTATTAAGGAATTAGGATTTTTATTAAATTGTTCAGATTGTTGAATCAAGCATTTTCGGCAGCTTTCACACTCTATTTTTTTTAATATTTTTTTAACAATAAATCCACCAATATACATAGATGTATTTTCTACAAATGAATTTATTTTTGTATAATTTTCAAAATAGTCGTGGTCAATGTAGATATTTTGCTGAGGTAGCTAAGTGCTTTCTAAAGTTAATACTGAGTCGTTAGCCTTTTCAGTTACACTTAGATTTTTTGTGTTATCCAAAATAGAACAATTTCCAAATATTGACCCAACTGCTTCATTGTGTACCAAAATTCTTTTATAAGCTGCCTTAAATTGCATACAAGTTGGATTGTCATTATATCCAAGCCTCGATCTAACGGCACTAAATGTTGTTTCAATAAAATCTTGACTTATTTTATAGGTTGAAAAAAATGCCAAGTTACCATTTAGATATAAACTTTGGTACATTTCTATTGCATTCAGGTGTTCCAAAATAAAACCAACAAATCCAGTTTTTCTTGCAGAATCCACAACTTTTATCCCATCTAAAAATTTTAGGCCTTTCACGTATTTGATAAATATTTGAATGTATATTTTGTAGTCATCTAAAGTTTCATCAGAAATGACACGTTTGAATTGTGATTTCGAAAATCTTGATCTACTATTTAGCATGTCAAATGCATTATTTATAAAAGATATAAATTCTGTTGTTGGCCCTGCTCCTTTGAAATCTTCATTTGTATTTTTTAAATAAGTAAGTGCATCAGTAACGCTTTGACTCAATATTTGAGCTGCTAATCTAACATTAATTTTCTCATTGTGGAAATGAATATGTCTCTTTGTCAGTTTAGTCCCAGCTCTTAATCCTTGTTCACTTTCTAATTCATATAGTTTTTTAATGTACATCCAATCAATAATTTCTTCATTGGAATTTTTAATAACTGACCTGTGTTCCCATGCATTTCTGATTAATTTCAACATGTGAGCAGGATCAAGAAAAATAAATAATTTTTCATCATATTTACTAATAATAAAAGCATATGGGTTCTTATAATTCAGCGGTTCTCAAACTGTGCTCCGCGGAGCCCTAGGGCTCCGCGAGAGTAGTCTAGGGACTCCGTGGCTCCCTGAGAATATTTGTATTTATTAAATTTAAATTATTAAATTATTATTATATTTCTTAGTTAAATTTTTATTTTTATAATCAATATTATTTAGACCGTACCAATATGAATTATTTTAAATGTTTAAAACTTTAAAATATTTATAAATCCACATATGTCATATTTTGTGTCATTGTCAAAATGAGATTAGATAAAAGTCGGGTTTTTGTTCATTTGACATGTTGTACGATAATTATTTAGTTTACTTATCTACAATAGTACAATCTACATTCTACGAAGTTCTAATAATTTCTTGATTCTTCAGTCATTACTCGTTATTCATCGGCCGCTGACGCAAATATTGTTATTTTGGTGTGTATTTCGTATTACGTGTTTCCTATTTTACCATCAATTGTTTTTATTGTTAACAATTTTTTTTGTGAATAAAAATTCAAATGGATCGTATATATTCGTATTTTACAGAAAATAAAAATAAAAAGCAAATCATTTACAATTGTTAATTATAATTACATAATTTATTTATGAATTTTTGTTGTCTCATATAGACATTTCTGATCTTTGGGGCTCCGTAATTTTTTTTAGGAATATATGGGCTCCGCGAACAAAAAAGTTTGAGAACCGCTGTTATAATTGAAGTTAGCACCTAATTCAGTACACATTCTTGTGTTTACATTTGCTCCATCAAATGTTATTGATTGGAGTTTAGCACCAGTATCATGCAATAAATCAATTGCTTCCTTTAATAGGTTAGCTCTTTCTTTACCTCCTAATCCATCTATTAGGAAATACGCCAGTGGCATCTTCCAGTAACCATTTATGCCTACTGCCAAAAAAACTAAAGCATTTTTTGCTAGTAGAATATCATCACTGTCATAACAATGCTCAGCTCCCATGTTAATATATCCATGAACATTTTTTTGACTATCAATTTCAACTTGCTGCCTAATACACATCTCAACAATAACTAAATTATGTAACTTTATTTACAAAAAGCCAGTTTAACTCTATTTTGGTCTATAACAATTAACTTTTTGATTGGATAATATAAGCCATAAACCCATAATTGGCAACTGCCGCACAGATAACCACTGATAGCTGATACGATGTGTAATGTGTTAATGTGCACATGAAATATGTATATATGATTGTACAGTCGAACTTCTTTAACTCGAATTCGTCGATACCTCGAACTTTTACTCCGGTTCCTAGAATTTCCTATTTAAGCAATGTAAAAAATCTTTTAACTCAAATATTTTCGTGGATAACTTGAAGTTTTGAGTTTTATTAATACTTATGTATTTGTATAAAATTTCCCTCATTTATCTATAATCGTCATTACTCATTAGTCATTAATGTTATCGTTACCGATAAGTTGTTTATCTACGGTTTACGACGACGACGACTGGTTCACGACAACGCATGACTTTCGTGTTCAGTGCTCTGTGTTTGTCTCAACGTGATCGTTCGTAATGTCATCATCAAAACGCATGCTAAAAACGCTAACATACGAGGAAAAAGCGGCAGTGATACGGGAAGTTAAAAATGGATTTAAAACAAAGTCTTTGATAGCTAAAGAATTTGGTATTCCACCTAATACTTTGTCAACTTATCTTCAAAATAAAGAAACAATTTTAAATAAGTTGGCTACGTCCAGTGTAAAGGGCAGAAAAAGGGCTCCCTTAGTGGGCTGTTGATAAGAGCAAAAGCTGAAGAATTCGCATTAAAATTAGGAAAAATTAATTTTAAGGCAAGCAATGAATGGCTCGATGGTTTCAAAGAAAGAAATGGCATTTGTTTTAAAACCGTAAGTGGTGAAAGTGGTGATATAAATGATCAAGAAGCTGATGATTGGAAAATAAAATTGTTACAAATGATAAAAAGCAAAAATCCCAAAGACATTTTTAATGCAAACGAAACAGGCTTATTTTACAGGTGTACCCCAGACAAAACACTAGTTTTTAAAGGTGAACGGTGCAGTGGTGGCAAACAAAGTAAAGAACTCGTAACACTGTTAGG